AAAAGCTCGGGTAGTCAAAATGTACAACAATACGTACTATTACTCTAGCCGTGACGACAATTTTTGTCACTAAAATGAGATTCTACTTGAACAGTCGCATTCTGATTGGACGAAATAAATTATTTAAATGTATTATCGTTATTCAAACTTTTAACCATGATATCTTGATAACCAACTCGATAAAAAATTTTTATTTAGTTATACATTCATAAACTGATATAGAATCGAAATAAAAAAAAAATTCATCAATTTTAGATAGGTAATTTTCGAGATATCTTCGCTCAAAATAGGAAATAACTTTTACCGCAGCTTTTGTTTTGATATTTTTTCTAAACTTTGAGCGAAAATACTCGACAACTACCTAGCTAAAATCGATGAAAAAAAAAAACTTTATTAATTTTAGATTTTTAGATAGGTGGTTGTCGAGATATTATCGTTAACTATCAAAACAAAAGCTGCGGCAATTGCCAAACTTTGAGTAAAGATATTTCAACAACTATATACCTATCTAAATTGATTTTTTTTTTATTTCGATTCTATATATATCAGTATATGAAATAAAATAAAATAAAATAAAATAAAAAATTCATAATCACCAATCAGAATGCGACTGCTCAAGTAAGAATCTCATTTTAGTGTCGCCATGGCTTGGTACTACTTTACGTACAGTACAGACCATTTTTGGTCTGACTATACGCACCAATCAAAACCGACTAAATGGACCGGGTCAACCCGGGTGATCAGATATCTGGTTACGATTATGGCAGCTCGGGTAGAGGCGGACAGGTCAACCCGCGGGTTGACCTGTTGGTCACGTAATTGGCCAATTTATTATGATTCAAAATTTAATAATTGGCTAATACATTAAGTTATTCAAATTCATTTTTATTCGTGTTTATTTAGCGTAAGTATAAAAAACGTTTGTTGATTGATAATTTTATGGGTTTCAAGTGAGAATTGGTTCATATAAACTTATGATCCATTCAATCGGATTAATTACTGCAAAGAAATATGCAGAATATATTTATTTAGTGCAATCTTACATCTCAGATCTGGGATTGTCTAAAGGTCACAGCGAAATAGATCAAGCTGATTTGTGAAGTTGTTGCCCGGAAATTTTATCTGATAAAAACCTGGACATTATTGGTCAGTGGCATACGGAGTCATCAATTCAGAGAACAAAAACCCTTTATTGGCTATCAATTTGATGACAAACTTGTAGCAAAGATTTGCATCAAAATGTGGCCTGAATTTACACTCCTGGAACCTCTGGCTGTAATTCATAAATTCTGAACCTGGATTCAGTGATATCAATGGTTTTTTTTAAATTGTTCACCCGGGTGACCCGTGGGTCCACCCGTCTGGTCACCCGGTTTATGATTTATTACTAAATCCTTTTTAAATTTTTGAATTTTTTAAAAATTTCTAAAAAGATTTTCAATAACTACTTAATTATATTCGGTAAAAATTTGTTTATTTCAATTCTATAATTTGTAAAATTAAAAAAAAACTTTTATTGAATTTGGTTTAGTCATTATCGAGAAATCTTCACTAGAAGTTTTAAAAAAAAATTAGAATATCAAAAAAAGGTACCTACATAAATTTTTTTTTCTTTTATGAAAGATTTTTCTACAGCCGTCTGTCCAATTTGGTGAAATTTATTTATTTTATTTTAATTTTACGAGTTTAAAAAATTAATTGAAACAAAAAAATTTATTTAATTTGAATAGGTAGTTGTCAACAATATCCATTAAAAGTTATTAAAAAAAAAAAGCAATCCGATCACAATTAGACGCTTATAGAACCTCCTATAACCGTTTATTTATACTTTTAAGCGAATAAAATATGTTATAACCAATTAAAACCATTAAATTATTAAATTATTCGCTTAACCGATAACAAATATAAACATGGTAAATAGCATACTGTACATATCCATATAATAAAGATATTAATTTGATTTTATCTACTGGACAAATGTGTATCGCCAGCATAAGTTTTAATTAAAAAAACAGACCGCATAAACTTATGTAATTCAATAACTTGTAAAAGTTTCGTTATTATGTGATGTCGACTCAAAAGTTTCATTAGGAACAAGTTGTTTTAAAAACACTGGGTAATGCGATGTATAATAGATTGGTAAAATGAGCAATAAACGGCAGGGACACGGAAACTATGTGATTCAATAAATCGCATAATTTTATATCGTTTATATTATATTAACGTCACATGTATTCGTTTTATATGTTCTCAATAGAAATGTTATCAACTTGATTCCGCCAGTATGTTTGACTATTATAAAAACTGATAAATAATAGAACCGAACAAACTGATAGTATATTAGTATGTTAAAGTGCAAAAAATTTAATTTTTGCTATAAAGTGCGAAACAAATTTTAGTATATAGTATAAGTGCGATTGTTAGTAGAAAGTAGTAGTATGTTAAATTGCGAAATAAATTAATTTTTAGTATATGTTAAAATGCGAAATAAATTTTTTGGTAATATGTTAGATTAAATAACGTTCTAATAGTATGTTAGATTATATAACGTTTTAATAATAGTTAAAGTGTATAAATAAAGTATAAAATAAATATACGTATCTGTCTTTGAGTATAAATATTTATTATTTTTTGAAATGGGTTCAGAAAGAATTACATTAAACAGTTGAGTGCTTGAATTTAGTAATAATTTTTATAAAAAGGATAACAAGTTTATATTTAGAGTTTGTCATTACTGTTGATTATAATGTTTGATCTATAATCGAGTCACATGCAAAAAAAGCTGCTACACAGAATACTAATACTCAAACCCTATAAAAAATTTTATAAAATTATATTTAGACTTAAGGTATTTTATTAAGAGATGAGTATTTTTCATAACAAAAAATCTATATAAAACCTTTAAAATTTTCTGAATACTGTTAACTATCAATATAACAGATTTAATAGTAAAAAAACTATATTATATATAATAGAAATCTTTGTTAGCCTATATACCAATTTTATTATAAAGTTTTAACCTATATTATAAATTCAATATAATTCAAAGTACAAAAAAAATTTGGATTTTTTTTTAACTATCACTATTGTCCAGTGCAAAAAGGTTTATACCTCATAAAAATTTTAATTAAAAAAATTATATATATAAACTTTAATTTTTTAAAAAAAATTAATTAATGGGTCATTAGATTAATTAATTTGAATTTTTTTTTTACAATTCATCATCAATGTCAAAATTGTCATCATCACCTATTTCCTTATCCAATAAAACTACATTATTATTCAATTTCATATACTCTTGTGCTCTTGTGTGCTCCTTTTTTAAAATCTAACCACTACTTTTAAGGTTACTTTTCCTTGAAAACTTGCAAAGCTTATTTCTCAGATTTAAAAGATTCAAATGTGGGCCCAATTTTGTTACTTCATTTTTTATAACTGTTCAATTGGCTGGAGTTTGCAGTAATAGAGAAAGATGTAACAAATCTGATGATTATATTGCTTGGCTATTTCAACACAAGTAAATAAAAATTTTTCTTTGTTTATTTGAACAAGTTTTAAAAGTTCAGGCTGATATAAATTACTAAAAAAAAATTTGGTAAATATTTAACAATTTAATTATTTCATCTTTTTTGTGCTTGAAGTTAGAATTTTTATTTATTATTTATAGTAATATATATCTAAAATTTTTTCTAGTGATTAAAAAATTATCAAAAAAATACACTATCTAGACTAACTATTTAATAAGTTTTTAAAAAGTTTCAAGACTGTAGCATCTCTCTGTAAGCAGATATAGGTGTAAAAAAACTTTTGTCTAGTACTGTACAAATTATGTATAACTATCTGATTGAATTTAAATATATACTTATATATAAGATTGTATACTTATTAACTTAGTTTTTTTAAAATATAGTATTTTATTGTTATAGTAATAAATTATAATATGGGATGAAGTCAATAGAAATAGAACAAATCTATCTAATAAATTTGTCCTATTTCTATTGACATGCTTCTATATTCTTAAATTAATTTGAATTTAATTAAATCAAATCAGTCTTGATTTAAATTTAATTTGAATCAAATATTTAAATTTGATTTTGATTTGATTTTAAATCTAAAAAATTTTAAAATATTGATTGCTGGGTGTAGCAATTTAGAGTAGTGATTAAGTTGTTACTCTTTAAGTGGCAGATCTAGAGTTTGAATTTCACCAGAGACATTTTTAAAAAAATAGATCTGTGTATTAGTAATAATTATTTAACAATCAGTTGGGTATATCACCTGTAATCTTGATACCACTATCTCAAAAATAAAAGCTCTTGGGCAATCCAATTTCAAGGAATCAGAATAATTGAAATCCATTTGGCAAGACCTGGACAAGAAAGTAGTAAAAATCTTCAATGATACTGCAGAAAGTCAAAAACTAAAGACCAAAGAACTGAACAACAACTCTGGGACAAGAAGGGTCTACAAACCTGGCTACTAAAATTGCATTGAAGGAAAAGATCCTATACTATAAAATTAGGAACCAAGGAAAGTAAAACTGAAGATATTTAAAGTCTAAGTACAACAACTTATCTGAGCTAACTGGTTTAGTAGTTTGAAAGAGATCGATATAAGGACTGGTTTGATGTAGATATTAAGATCAAAACAAATCTTGTAAAAGCACCAAATACTGAAATTGTGTCATTTAATAGTTAGCTTTGACTGTTAGTGGTGATTTTGGCTGCTATGAAAAGTATTTGAAGCCTAATCTGAAAATATGTAAAACATAGAAAAATTAGAGAAATATATACTACATCTCCCTAGGGCAACTCAGTAGTATGAGAACCCTACTAGGTTATCTATAAAATTAGAATACAAGTAGTATAGCACATATCGATCTGAATAGTTTTTAATTAAAGCAGCATGAGGTTATAGACTAATGTAATTGTAGTGATGATGCAGGATAGGAGACATCAGAGAGTTTAAATAGGTAATCTTCTAGTTAAGTTACAGGTACAGCATATAGTATAGAACCTTCAGGCAGACTACTTAAATAAGCAACCAAAAGTTACACATATAGCTAAATATACTTTTATTAATCAAGAATATACTACTAAAATATCTAATAAAAATCTACCTTTTCACGACATTGTAAAGGTTAAAAAAAAACAATATTAATTGCTAATAAAAACTTTTAAGAACAGAGTGAATGTAAATCATTTGTTATATAATTTTACACATTAAAAAAATTTTTATACAAAAATTAAATATATACTATTCAAAACTTTATAATACATAAATTAAAACTTTTTTTATAATAATAAAAGTTTTAATCCTTATATCATTTAATAAAATCTACCTCTACATATCATTAAATTCTCTTAGATTGATTGAAATTTGTCTAGATAATATAAAAATTTCTAGTTCTTATTGGTTAGATTTTATTATTTATAATTTTAATTGGTCAAATCAATATAAATTATATAATATGATATAATTTGCAATGTAATTATTATTAAAAATAATTAATGTTCATTTTATTCTTAATTTATGAAAAATTTTATTAAGTTAATTAATCTTGAGCTTTTAATTATAAATATTTTTTTAATTAAGAGATATGTTATTTATTATATAATTTTTATTATAAATACATAGTTAACTAAGTAATTAAATATATATGTTTATATGTTATATCTCAGATTAATGCTTGACTCAAATCACAGCTGATACACTTCAAATGTAGATTATTATGTGAGGTGTGTAATTTATTGATCAGTAATAAACACAAAAAATATTATATATAAAAATTATTAAAAATTTAGATGTTCTATAAAATAGGTGAGTAATATAAGAAATAAGCTTTGTTAATGATTAGTAATCATTAATTTTTTAATAGCAGAGTTGTGAAGTTTGTGAAGTTTGCCTACCTATTCTATAGAACATCCAAAAATCAATGTGTTAAAAAACTTAGATAAGAAGAATATATCACAAAACTTTAGACAAAAAAGAAAGAAAGAAACTATATACAAAAAAAAAGAAAAGTACATATAATTAAAAATAAAATATACTGTAAAAATATATTGGATTTTAAAGAAAAAAGTAGGGTGCTAACAAGACTTAATTGTCCAAAGCAAAGCGGAGAACTCATACTTCTATGTACTTTGATGACTGAAATTATAATTTTGATACATCTATAATAAAAAGATCAAAAAAGTAGTTTCAGCATTTTCTGTCTGTAATATTATGTGTCTATATTTGTATATTGTGTAAAAAAAATTATACACATTTATGTATTTGTGTAAGATAACAAT